TAAATGAGTAGGGTAACCTTCTTAATTAGGATTTCCCGACCCCAACCCTACCTTAAATAAAGCGGGTATGAGGAATAAAAGTGAAGGTGGGGGCACGAACAGGAGAAGAGTAAACTTTTCTTTTTCAGCCTTTTCCCCAAAATAAACGAACAAACCATAGTAGGCTATTATTGAGCTTTGATTTTTTTTTTAAAAAAATTAACGAGCCTTGAACTTATTGGTGTTTTGTAGCTTAAACCCTAGATTTTTAGTTTTGGCAAATGACTCTAAATTCTAAAAATCATGCAATTTTTGTTCAATGGTAAATAAATATGCGTCAATAAATGGACAAAATGCCCATAATTTTAATACAGAATGATCCCTAAACTTTTAATTATTAGTAAATTGGCCCCTGGATTTTTAGTTTTGACATTTGGGGACCCAAGTTTGCGTTTAATTAACGTTAGTTACTGGATAGACTACACATTGCTAAGAATTCTCAAATTTAGAGCCTTAAATATCAAAATTGAAAACTTAGAATCTGTTATAAATCTAATATTTTATATGGATGCCCATTAACCAGATTCTATGGTTTTTTCATGGGATTAAGGTCACAATTTATGGGATTGTAATCTGCAATTAATTGAGATTGTGATTGATTGAAATATGACAATTACAATTATTCTGTAGATCTTGCTATTATTGTTTTGTAGAATAGCCTATAAATAGAGCCTTAGAGAAGCATTGTAATGTTTTGGTGTGTGAATCAAAAAATTATCTTCTTTCTTCTCTCAATTCTCTCAATTCTCTTGTTCTTGTTATTTCACCCCGTTACTTTCTTTTATTTTATAACAGAATCCAATTTGTGAATAGGGTGCACGAATGCAATATTTTTTTTTCCCCCTCACAATTGTTAGAAAAGAAGCATGTCAGTATAAATTCTGATTGTAGGACACTATGTATTTAACCATGTTTAGAAGAGTCCTCAAAATCGAAAAATTATTCCCTGAGTTTTAGATGAATCTCATGTTTGTCCTTATATTTTTTTATCATTCACACAATATTCATTGTGTTTTTAAACTGTCCAAAAATTGTTTCTTAAGTTTTTTTAAAAGAAATTAAAATAACTCTTTAATTGGTTAAATTACCTTAACAATCAATATTTTCTTAAATATGAATAACTAATTAAATAGATTGAGATAAAAAAAATAAAAATTTTAATAAAATATAATTATGTTTAAAAATCCAAAACTTAACAGGTTAAATTGGTTCAACGTCGTGTTGGATCTTAAGCCCTCTGTTATTAACACGTCACAGATTAGACTTTGACCAGTTAATGGATTATTCTTTTAACTATTTAAACACTTAGATGATAGTTTTGGGGTAATCCAAATTTATGCGGAAGGTGTTTTGGTTTATGAAAAGAGTAATTATATTTGCACCCTAAAAATTTATAAATGTCCCCACTAATTAATAATCCTTTAAGAAGATTTAAAATATTCATCCTTTTATAGATTATATTTTCATAATACTTAATTTAATCCCTACATACCCCACTCTAATGTTAACTTGATTTGATTTATGGAAAACTATACACCATCTTGTGCTTTATATTATATTGAAACATTTCTATTAATGAGCTTTTCAGCTTAATATTTTTTTGTTTGTTTTTATATTGTTGTATGCTTGATAATTCTTTTGACTGCTAGATTGAGTTTGCAAAAATGAGCAGCTATTACATACTATTGCATGTTGCAGTTTTAGATCCGTTATTTTCCTTATATTAGAGTTTTTTCCTATCAGCTATTATCATATTAGAGTTGATCAAATGATTGAATATGTCATCGATTGATATTTATTGCATTTTCCTGTTTTTTTATTAGTGTTCAACAAAATTCTTCCTATATCAAATAAGTTTCTATAGTTAAATAAAAAAGTTAAGCAACAAAAATAAAAATAGAAAAACATTATTGACTTCTAATTATAGTTATTGTGCGTGTATGGTTTCTTCATTTCTTTGAAAAGAATACCATTTCTATTAATAGTTAATATTGGGTGTGTTATTGGGTTTTAGTGTAATTTTAATACAGGGAAACTAGTAATAACCATAAATTATTATTTGATAGGGGTATTAATAAATTTTGCGGATGCAAATATAATTATTCTTATTAAAAATATAGAGGTAAATGCGATATTTAGCTAAAATTGGGGTAGTACTTTTTGGATTTCACCCTAAAAATATGCAGTAGTTATGTAGAAATGCAAACTCCATTAATTAAAATAAAAGCCAGAAAGAATATGAGCAGGAAAAGAAAAAAGAGTTAGGGAAAAAAACTTGTTATGATCCTATATATTATCACTTAGCTCTTTTTTTTTTTTTTTTTTTTTTCCCGTTTATCTCTTACCTCATCTTAACAATCCGTAATTCTAACATGTGTCCATTATCGGTAATATATTGAGCGCGTTTGTAACTCGTTCCAAAATGATTTTATTTTTTGTATGAAAATGAAAATGAAAATGAAAACATTTTCAATCTCATACATAAATTATTTTTAAAAATGTGTTTGGTAGTGTTATCAAAAAATTGTTTTCAATGTAAAAAACCCCATTAATGTCTCTCTTTCTCTCTCTCTCTGTGCTCGAGGGAGGAAAAAATAAAAATAAAAAATAAAAAATGATTAAAAGTTGTTTTTCATTTCTCTCTCATTTTACACTAAACTAAAAAAATCTTTTTCATTTTCGTTTTTTATCTTTATTGCGCCAAACACTGTTTTGGAAACGTTTTTATTTTTTCTTTCTCAAAAAATGTGAAAAATAAAACGAAAGTAATTCCAAACACGGCCATTGAAATATTAACAATCCTACAAATATTAAGTATTGTTTTTATCCCTTGTAAATAGTGACAGGTGCTAGAGTGCATGTGTGAAATTTTTTAGTTCAAATGTTAATGGAAAATATTTTGTTTTTCATTTTAAATGGTAATGCAGTGTGTTAAGCGGTCATAAACCTTTTATTAAAGGCTAAAACAGCGTGTGGTTGGAAACCCTATCATATATATATATATATATATATATATATATCATAAGTGATAGCTTAACTAAGGTTGCCAATTTTGAAAATGCACATCCTTCTCCTTTGACCCAATTTTTTAAATTTATGTAGGGAATTGTTTAAGAACTTTTATTCCACTTGGTTATCTTTTCTTTTATTTTCCTTTTTCTTATCTCTCTCCCTTTCTCTTCTTTTTACAAGAGACTGGTAAAAAAGGTTAGAAAATTATTAGTATGTGTTGATATCTATGAGCAATGTAAGCAATGTAATAAAGTAGTGAAGTTAATCATTTGCATGCATTATAATGGACACTACAATATTTTTTTCAATTTACTTTTTTTTATAAGCGTTTTTTCAATTTACTTGATGAATAGAGAAATCATTATTATTATTATTATTATTTGCTAATCAAAAAGAGAAATCATTAGTTGATCATGAGACTATGGTACCAATTCCCACACAACTAAAAACCATCGAAACAAGAGATTAAACAAAATTAACAAATATGAATTAATAAGTAATAAAAACATAACTAAAGGCATTTTTGCACGAAACACCAAGCATATTCTTTTCTCTTTTTTTTTTCTGACAGAAAACATATGATAACGCACCCATTCCAAATTCCCAACCCTAATCGATACCCTTATCATTTGAAATAGTACACTGCACAAAAAAAAAAAAAAAAAGAAACCAAGGAGAGAGAGAAGTTATCATCAGAATTAGTGTAAAAGGTAGAGTCCGTTTAATTCGCTGATATAAATTTTTAATTTGAGTTAAAATGTGATTTTATATTAAAATTTTTTACTGTAATAAAAAATTAAATGTGACTATATTTGAGAACTTTTTACTGCAGTATAAATTAAATTTTAAATTCGAATCAGTGAAATGAACGGGGCTGTAGAAACCCACAATTACAACCTAATTTTGCAAATATGATAAAAAAAACTAATTTTGCAAATTTTAAGACTCACATTCACATGCAAAAATAAAGGGGAAAATAAATAAATGGGCCAAAAAACAATCAACAATAACTAGAGAAAAAGGTTAACTATAGATAGGGCTGTTCATGGGTTGGGTTGGTGCGGGGTAGGACTTTTTTTTCCCCGCCCCAAAGGGTGCGGGTGGCACATATTTGGCCCCAACGATGTTAGAAAAATTTCACAACCCAACGTTGTTCGGGTTGGGTTGGGACGGTGCGGGGTGGGTTGGGTGGTCGGTTTCAACATTTAAAAAATCAAAGACTTAAAGATCAATATAATATTCAAACTTCATCATTAAATAGAAATAGTAACCATCATTATCAGTCCGGTGAGAGAGCACCGGAGTAAGTGGGCAAGACGGCGGCCGAGAGGACTGAGCAATGAGGAGAGAGTTATGAGGGGGTTCACGGGAGGGGAAGAAGAGGGAAAACTGAAAAGGAAGAGGCAAGAAGAGGGGGTTCACGAGAGGGGAGACCGAGAATGAGATTGTGAACCCTAATGTTAGTGTGCCTAGGGTAGAACTTAGGCAGTTCGGCTTGGGCCAAAAGCTTGGGGGTATGTTGTGCGGGTTGGATTGGGGATTGCGGGTTGTTATGGGCCCAACCCACAATCCACCCCAAACACTTCGGGCCAGAGGTTTAATGAGCCGCAAATTTAAAAATAATACTGCGGGTTGCTTTTTTCAGCTTGGATTGGGACGGGGTGGGTTAGGTTTGCGGGTTGTTCGGGTTTATGAACAGCCCTAACTATAGACATGAAAAAAAAAGAAAAGAAAAAAAAAGGTCTGAAAGGCAAAAGGCAGTTTCATGTATCGCGTAGTTCCTAAGCGAATGATTCTTTCATCTCAACAGTACAAGACTCGAGATTTTCTTTTTCCTTTTCTTTTGTATTTTATGTCAATTTTCGATTTCGATTTTTTACATCATATAATTATACAGTCTATAATTGTTTACTTTCAAATTTTTTTTTAAAATCTATAAATACCCTTTTCTCTCTAGTGTCTTTTTGTATAAAAGGCAACCCAAAGCAAAACAAAGCAAAGCAAAGCAAAAGCCTTGGATTGTGTGTGTGGCGTTTCTCTTCGCGAAGGAGAAGCGAAAGAGCAAAGAGAAGACGATTCTCTTTCTCTCACTTAGGTTTTGACAGAGAAACGAAAGGAAATCCATGGCCGAAGAGTTCGTTGCTGGCTCTACAAACGGCGTTCCCATGGATGCCGCCGCCGCCAAATCCCCCAACTCTATCTCCACCGTCATCCCCGGCTGGTTCTCCGAGATTAGCCCAATGTGGCCTGGTTCGTTTTCTCTCTCTCTATCATCTCTTATATGTTTTGTTTGACTGGTGAGTAATTGCGGGAAAATGAGGCGGATATTCGGGTATTTTTGTCTACTGAAGCTTTTGTTAATGTTTTTCGTTATTTTTGTCTGTGAAACTGATTAAAATATGCTTGTTTCCGAGTTTCTGTGTATGCAATCGGTTTTTGTGTCAACGGAATATGCTTGGCTTTTTTCGTTTTTGTTTTTGTTGGGATTCTTTACAAGCCATGAGTGTTCTTTGAATGAAATTTGCTTTCTTACAGTTCTTGTTTTGTGTCATTTTTGCTTGTCTGTTGGTCTCCGATTGCTTGCTTATCCTAATAGCTTAAGCTTTTGGGATGGATTGGTTAAATAACACCACCATATTATACTTTGCAATTTGCGAGGTTAAGAAATTTGACACCTGATAAGAAAATGAAATAGTTAGGTTTCATCTTTTCATTTGTTCTTTAATCATATGGTTTTTTCAGAAGGTCAAGACATTAGTTTTTTGGGTATGATTGGTTTGTGTACAATATTCATGTGTGGAGCTACTTTATATGCAGGGGAGGCACACTCCTTGAAGGTGGAGAAGATTTTATTTCAGGGAAAGTCTGATTATCAGGATGTGATGGTTTTCCAGGCAAGTGATGATTCTCCGAACGATGTTGCTGAAACTTTCTTGAGCATTGTTTGGTTCTTTCAGTGACAATATTGTGATGCTGTTATTTCTTTCTTTTTGGTTTGCAGTCATCAACGTATGGAAAGGTCCTTGTTTTGGATGGGGTGATTCAGCTCACTGAGAGGGACGAATGCGCTTACCAAGAAATGATCACCCACCTTCCCCTGTGCTCAATTCTAAACCCAAAGAAGGTTATATGTTTAGGAACATGATTTGAAATGACAAGTTTTATTATTTTTTTCTTTTGTCTGCTTTTATAATTTATTCACAAAGTTGTTTTTCTTTAGGTTTTGGTTATTGGTGGAGGAGATGGTGGAGTCCTGCGGGAAGTTGCTCGGCATACCTCCATTGAGCAGATTGATATATGTGAAATTGACAAGATGGTTGTTGATGTGAGTACTGCTGTTGAAAATTTTGTTTTGTGTTACTATTTAACTTGTTTGTGGACCAGCTACAAATTATATATGTGTTTCCTTTATGTGTTGATTGGTAATGAACAAGTAAATCATTGCCTTGTTTTATGAAAGGCCAATTTAAGTGAATTCTTTAGAGTTGCTTGGTAGATATTCTCATAAATAAGTGAGTACAGCATGGATATGCATTTATAAACTCTATCTTTGTCCCACTAGAGGATGCTACTTTACCACGAAAATCTCATACGATATTATTTCAGGTGTCTAAAGAGTTTTTCCCCAATGTAGCAATTGGATATGAGGATCACCGGGTGAACCTTCATATTGGTGATGGTATGATTAGCTTGTTCTATTGCTTCTCGTTTTTTCCTTCCTTTTGTATTTTTTTTTTATCCTGATTTCTTATGGTTTTTTCTCAATCTTGTAGGAGTTGCCTTTTTGAAGGCTGTCCCCGAAGGGACTTATGATGCAGTTATAGTGGATTCTTCTGATCCAATTGGTAATTATATTCTCAAGCAGCATTCTTCCTGTAGAAGTTGCGAACTGCGTTTAATAAGTTCTTAACGTCTGGTTTTTAATTAGGTCCCGCTGAAGAGCTCTTTAAGAAGCCGTTCTTTGAGACAGTAGCTAGGGCTCTTCGTCCAGGAGGAGTTGTCTGTACTCAGGCTGAGAGTATATGGCTTCACATGCACATAATTGAGGACATTGTGGCTAATTGCCGGCATATATTTAAAGGCTCAGTCAACTATGCGTGGACTACAGTCCCTACATACCCAAGGTACAGACTTTTGAAACTATATATGGGTGCAGCTCTCTTTCTCTCTCTCCATGATGAGTATACTTTTACGCATTATGTGTGTGCTACTAAAAAAAATGGACGCAGGCATGCAATAGGAACAGATGTTTGAATTTATTATGACCTGCCAAATGGCATGTTTCTGCATTGCTGATGTTGTTTTATCCTTAACAACTTTCATTTGCGTCTCAGTGGGGTGATTGGTTTTATGCTTTGTTCAACTGAGGGACCACATGTCGATTTCAAGCACCCTGTGAATCCTATTGATGCTAATGACAAGTCCAAGAGACCTTTGAAGTTTTACAACTCCGAGGTGTGATTTGAGAGGAAACATCCCTTCTCCTTTCGTTTTATCCGTATAACTCTCTTATAAGTTATGTGCTTAACTTTTCCTTTTATTCTTATGCCTATTTCTTTTTATTTCCAGATTCACACAGCTGCTTTCTGCTTGCCATCTTTTGCGAAGAGGGTGATTGATTCAAAAGCATGAAGCGAAGCGTTAAGAGCTACAAAATAAGATTGCCGTTTTTCTTCCATTCTCATGAAAGAGCTCATTTAGCAAAAGAAGCAATGAAGGAATAAGCTGAGGTTCAAAATTGACGTCTCTATTTCTTGGCTGTTAAGCGTGATTTTTGGTGGATTACAATGTCTATCTCTTTTTCTTTCAAATAGTATTACGAATTGCAAGTTAAGAAACCCTGCAGGATTTTGTCGATGCAATCAGCTTTTTTGTTTTTCCCATTTCGTTTGGATGAACTCAATCTAGCTGTTCTATTAATAATAATAGCAATTTGGTTAGTGCTTATGCCAAGTTGTGAATGGCAACCAAGTAATTAGAGGAGTATTCATGAACCTGATGGGCGTGGTCGTAACTCAAAAGCATTTTTTTTTATAATTGTATTAAAGTTGAGAAGTAAAAGTAGACACTTGACAAGTTGTTTGATGCTTCGTCCACATTATTGGACCTCGTCGGTTCTATTGTGCAAGATTTGCCAAAGAAAAAGACCCAAACATTGATTAACAAAAAAACTGAGAAATTATTGGCAAATGAAAACAAGTGTTTGCTCCACTAAAATCGTTATTTAACCTGGTTGTAGCTTCATAAGGCTAACAATGCCATGGAATATAAAAAAAAAAAAAGTCACATATACAAGACTTTTAATTTTTACATTCCTTTGCATATCAAGAACTTTGTTTATTCTCATCAACAGCTTCAACCTTTTTGCCTACTTCTTCGTCAACTTTCTTCTCCATAATCCGATTCTTGCAATCGTGGAAATACACAACGCAAGCGACCCATTTAAGCGCATTCCCCAAACAGAACAAGCCAATCTGTGCAACAATCCAACGCTCACTTCCCAAGCAGCCAAATAGGAGGCAAGACAACCTCAAACTCACTCCCAAAACAAAGAAAACAAGCATCAAAATCAACCCGCGACGCTCATTTCCCCTGCTGAAATAATTAGACAAAGCCATTGCTTCAACCCCATAAACACCCTCCAATATGGAAATCACAAGACTCATGTTCCACATGGCACTCCACTCCAAGTAAATCCTTAGCAAAAACATAAAAGCTATCCCACATAATAGTCCAAATATAACATCACATAAAGGGTTCCTTAAAACAACAAAGTAGAGTGTTACTAACCAGATCAGCCCAAGAAGATAACATGTTGACAAGATTGTTATGTAAACAAATGTGACAAAACTGCCCCTCAAAGTTGTTCCGTGGATTGGTCTCTGTACCATATCCTTAAAAGTCATCCAGATTTCTTCTTCTCTGTAAATCTTTGAGGCCAAATCAACGATCACAAGCACGGTGCTGAGCTCGAAGAGATGAAGAGGCAGCAAATAAAGAGAACAGAGTTGAATAAGCTGGTAAGAAAATCCCTTGTCCAATTTTCTTTCGCTTTCAAATGGTATCGGCCAATTATAGCGGAAGTTATCATAGCGTCGTTGTAGAAGAATCTGAGAGGTTTTAACTAGGAAACCTTGTAGGAAAGTTTCATAGTAAACCAAGAAGAAGAAGAAAGGGAGGGAGGTTAGAACAGTGAAGATGATGAAGCTAGGATTCTTGGCAAAAAGTTTCGCAGCTTGTTTGAGTATACCAATGACCTCTAGTTTCTGATTAACGAGAATTACGTTGTTGCTTTCCATCTTCTTCCTAGGTTCAGAACACAATTTTTAAAGGATTTTGAATGAATATCAATGAGTGATTCAGGACTATTTAGGACCTCATAAATCTTGAATGAGATGTTTGTTTTAAGGTTTCGTTCTTGATTCTGAATCACGGTTCTTAGTTTTCTACGGTGTTTGTCTCTCATAAAAAATTTAAATTTTAAAAATTAAAATTATAAATTATGGTTCTAAACCCATAAATCAATCGTAAGTTTACATTGAGGAAGTGGGTTGACTTTGACGTTTTCTTTACCTTGAAGGCTTGAACTTGTCTATTTCCTAGTAATTGGGTCATCACCATTCACAATTATTCTTATTATTAATTATTATTGGCCTTTCGAGATAGAAGGACTAGGAAGGTGTTGGCTTTTCATTGCGTGGAGAGTGGAATTTCATGTTATGGGAGTTACTGTAGAAGCATGAAAAATTTAGCAGTCGTTTTTCTTTCCTTTTAGTTTCTTTTTTGACTCAAAAGAATTGGCTTTCTGCTCCTCCATAATTCACTATGTTTTTTGTTCGTTGTTATCTGGGTAATCCAGTCTGAAGTTGCAATTTTAAGTATCACAGATATCAAAATATGGAATTTTGTAGTCCTTATTATTGTATAAAGTAGTTTTTCATAATATCATAAAAAAGTACTTTTTTTTTTTTTTTGCTCAATAATATCATAAAAAAAGTACTTATTTTCATTTGTTTTTAAGCTTTCCGGTGTTTGCTAATAGTCTTCGCTCTGTCAAATTCAAATGAAAAAAGAAAAGAAATAAATAAAGACGTGATCCCAAAGTACATTAAGAAGCATTTACACCATCTTTTTCCGCTAATTAAACAGACAAAAGGGCTGATAATCAGCAAAAAAAGGCCATCGTCGATTAAAAAGTTGACATATAACAAACAAGGCTGATTTATTATAAACAGATATCTACCACCACAACTAGTAAGATCTTTCTCTGTAACGACTTTCATGCTTGTGTATTATAGTGATCGTCAACAACTATAATTGATAAGGAAATTGAATGCTTAATTTTGACTTTGGAACGAGGGGTTTACAACAGTGAAGACAATAAATTATATAGTACTTGTTACCTAAATCTAAAAGCAGCTTAAATATAGACAGATTATATAATACTATATGGTTTCTTTGCCTTTAATCCACACAAAAAAAAAAAAAAAAGGTACATCCCAACTGAATTACCAATCGTACCTTTCATCTCAATTGAATAGACATTCACTAGTTAAACCATGCGTAACCAAGTCTTCCACTCAAATCTATTAAATAAAGAGACATACTGAAGAAAAATAAAACAAAAGAGCAAGTTCATAAAACAGGCAAGGTGCCTTTACTTGGTAAACACGTAACATTCACCAAGGAAGCCTTGTATACAATAATAGTCTACAAACCTTCATTTCTAGTCAGGTCATATATGTGGAGAGACATCGACAGAAGATAATTGAAAGCTCATTATTATTGCTTTGCCATTGGCTTGACTCTAAATATGGTTTGGAATCATAAGCTTCCCAGACGATTAATACGATTTTTTCATCTCAGTAGTTGTGTTTATTCACGAGCTGTTTTGACCTCTTAATTCTTTACCTTCTTCTGCATCAACTTTCTTCCCAAAAATTCTCTTAATGCAATCATCAAAATACACCACAAACGAGACCCATTTAAGCGCATTTCCGAAGCAGAACAAACTAGTCTGAGCAACAATCCAACCCCATGTTTTATACCCACCAAAAACTAGGCATGGAATTAGCCTCAAACCAACTCCCCAAACAGAGAAAACAAGCATCAAAATCACCCCATTGTGAGCATTCCTTAAGCTAAGATAAGCTGATGAACCTAACGCTTTGGCCCCATACGTTCCTTTCAACAATGAAACCACAAGACCCAAGTTCCATATAGCACTCCAAACCAAGTAAATTCCTATGAGCAACAACAGATTTGCCCCATATACTAGGTGAAAAAAAACATCAGATCCCCTTCCCAACAAATAGGACCTCAAAATAAAACCATTGTCAGAGTCATAATACCTTAAAGCAGAAGAATAGGTTGCGAGTAACCATATAAATCCAAAGAGAGTACATGTCGACAACAACACAACATAGCCATAAGTGATGAGAATGCCCCTTAATCTTGCTCCGTCGGTTTTTACGTCGAGCATGTCATTGAAAGTGAAGGACTTGTCTTCTCTGTAAATCTTCGACGCAAAATCGACAATCACAAGCACGGTTAAGAGCTCTAGGAGATGGAAAGGGACCAAGTAGAGAAAACCCAGTTGGAGAAGCTCGCGAAAAAGATCACTGTTCAATTTTCGGACTATATCAAGTGGTAAAGACCAATTGGTTTCGTGATGCTCGAAGTAAGAGTGAAGGGTAATCACATAGGACCCATTTCCAAATTGAAGAAATTCACGTTCAGGGGTTTCGTGATCTTTTCCTTGAAGAAGAAACGCAGAGGTTTGGAGAAGGAAGTTTTGGAGGGAAGTCTCGAAGTAAAGAGAGAAGCAGAAGAAAGGAAGGGAGACTAGAGATGTGAAGATTATGAAGTTGGTGTTTTTGGTAAAAACTGTGAGAGCTTTTTTCAGGATACCAGAGGCTTTGAGTTTATTGCTTTCCATCTTTTTCTTTGTTTCTCCTCGCTTCCAACCTCCAACCAAACTAGAGTAATATAAAATATAAATGGCGAAAGTTTATTGCTTTCAAAGTTGCCGGCTGAATAGACTTTGACCTTTAACTTATTTGTCTAGAAGATAAGCAATTAAACACCGATGTTTTATCTTAATTTTTCATTTTTGCAATTCATTTTTGAGTAGATCCGAGTCTTATAAATAGTATTAATTTTTAACTGTTAAATTAAATTAATTTTTAATTTTTTATAAAAATTTAATATATAAAAATAAAAAATTATCAATAATTTATTTTTTCTCGTCTCACGAAGCTCCTTCATTTTCCTGTTATTGTAATATAAAGTTAAAACTAAGAGGGATCTCTATGGCTGGCTGATCTGATTATAAGCAAAGGTGAAGTAAGATAGTGAAGCTTCTTAGAAAGTGTTGGGCTTCCGATTTTCAACACTAGTTAGTCAAGGTTGGGATGTAGAAAAAAAAAAAAAAAAAAAAAAAAAAAACGACAAGTCAATTGCCACGTATAACTTGTTATCGTTTTATTTGAAAATGACATTTCGTTTCATCTCACTAGTTTTCTATCGTTTAACCCTGCTGAATAACAATCCGACAACCTCCCATTCCAAACGACGTAGTCGTGTTTTGAAAAAAAAAAAAACAAAAACAGTAGAGGAATTTGTGAAATGAAGCAGTATTGCTTTGATTAGAAAACCGAGAGAAGAGGGGTTTATACACAATCTGGGGAAAAGGAAGCAGGGGTTTGTTGTAACAAACCTCCAACTCAGCAAAGAAAAGGAAAATAAAAAACAACACCCTACTTAGTCTTATTTTCAAAACAACAACTAATTAACCTTTATTTACAATCTCAACCCCTAAAACTCTTAATACTCCCCCTCAAGATGGATGATGAATGTTCTGAATTCCCATCTTGCGCAAAAGAAAAGCAAACTGAGATGAAAAAAGTGACTTCGTCATTATATAAGCAATTTGATGTTGAGAAGCTACATGCAGAGTCTTTAAGTTTCCGTTTAAAATCTTCTCTCGTATAAGATGACAATCAATCTCTATATGCTTGGTTCTCTCCTAAAAGACAGAATTGGCTGCTATATGGAGGACGGCCTCATTATCACAATACAAAACTGCAGGTCATGAATGGTCAACTTCAAGGTCCTTGAGTAAGGAAAACAGCCACATAAGCTCACATGTTGCATTGGCCATTGATCTATACTCTGCTTTACCTGTAGATCTAGCAACAATATGTTGCTTCTTGGATTTCCAAGAAACCAATGAGTCTCCAAGGAAAATACAGAATCCACTAATGGACCTTCCACTATCCGGACAAGAAGCCTAGTCTGAATCAGTAAAGCCTCTCAAGTGAACTGATGAGGTAGAAGGAAAAAGGATCCCTTGCCCAACTGAGGAACTCTTGGTTTGGCAAGAAATTGACTTAACTTGTTGACAGAATATGACAAGTTTGGCCAGGTTATTGTGAGGTATAACAGCTTCCCAATAATTCTTCTGTATTGAGATGGATCATCAAGTAATTCTCCCTCATTTTGAGAGAGTTTCACATTGGGATCCATATGTGTCTTCCTCATTTTACATCCGAGATACCCAGTATCTGTAACACCTCGAGAAATTAAACGAGATTAATTAAGATAATTATGATTTATTAGTGTTCCTAATCTTGTTTAATTAATTGATTTTTGAGTAATAAATGTGACGTATAAATTTAAATATTTCTAAAGAATTTAAATGTTCTAAATATTTATATTTTTACCCCAAAAGTATGTGTAGACACATTTCCTGGACTATCAATTTAAATATTGTGACACCAGTTTCTTTTTCCCTTTTTCTTTTCTTTTTCTTTTTCTTCTTTTCCTTTTTCCTTCTCGTGCATTGCTCACTCTCACTCTTTCTCACTCTCGTTCTCCCACTATCTCTCATTCTCTCACTTTCTCTCTCTCCCATTTTTGTCTCGAATCAACCGGATCTTGAACCAAAAAAGGATTTAAAGAAGTTTTCAACGTCAAGAGAAGAAATTGAGGTAAGATTTATGAAAAACTTCTCTTGAATCTCGAATTTTTCGGATTAGAAAACCTATTTTGGTTCAAAACGGATTTTCATGGATTTTGAGTAAAATCATGGTAGAAATTTAGGATTTTTGGTTCTTTGGACTGTATTTTTCATTTGGAACCTGGACAGGATGATTTCCCTTTGAAATATCACAGATTAAACTCAAATTTACAGGTTTTCAGACTCATTCGGTGAGTTTTCTCGCATTTCTGTCCTCCACCGGTCGACCGGATTGCACTCCACTAGGTTGACCTATGCGGTCAACCGAATTGCACACCACCGGTCGACCGGTGTACATGGGGTTTGACCCTGTTTTGCTTGAAAACCCTGTTTTGACCCAGATTTTTTAGGGGAACCCAAATTAGCTTCATTTTGGGACCTAAAATGAATGGATTACCATCTTTAATCCATGTTTTGAGATTAAAACCCTTGGAATGATGATTTGAAACATGAAATGATTTATGAAACTTGAAATTTGATTAAGGCACACTAATAGGAAATCAAAGGATATAATTGAGATTAAATTACTTTAGGAATGAGAATTGGATCCTAAAGTGTTGCTTTGTATCAGTGCTAGCTGAGGGATCGAATTGAAGGCTTTGAGGAAGCAAAAGCCGGAATTGTGCAACGCTAGTCACAGGTTTGGTACTTGAGAGGTAGGATTTCTTACCCCTTTCCCTGTTGGCCTGATTTTCAAAGAGTTTTGGCCTTGCAAATATTTTAAAGAAATGGCGTGTTTGCGAAAGAAAAGCATTTTGAAAACAATAGCTTGATTTTAGCAATTGGAATTATAATGAACTATTTCAGAAAGTTTAATGAATGATTTCTTAAGATAAGAGATCTTGCGAAACGATAAACCGGCTGATGGCCTAGATAGGATATGGAGAGTGTATCCTTGGGGGCAGAACCCGAAACCCAGACCGGGCCACTACAGTGGTAGAAAAGGCTTGTGCTTGTGTAAGTAATTCATCAGAGGATGAATTACTTGTTGATGCCTATAATACGGAAATTTTTAGTTTGTATTCTTTTCAGAAAAATGATGTGAGGTTCTGGCTGTTGTGTTGGAACTGAATGTCTATATTTATTTAATTGCTTATTCATTTATTTATTTACTCATTCATTTATTTACTTGTTTATAAAGTTATTTCAAAATACATCCTACTAGGCCTTCCGCTCACGTTTTATTTGTTTTATAAATATTAAACCCCTCCGAGGCAACTCTAGAAGCAATGCGGAGTAGATGAGTTAGATTGCTACCATCCGATTAAGAGAGGATCGTGTCCTTCCTCCTTGTGAGTAAATGTAAGAATTGTAAACTCTGGACTTTGGATTTCTAGACTATGGTTGATGTCTGTAATGTTATTTACATGTTCATGTATGTACAATACTGCATATCCTGTGGGTGAAGCCCTGAACGATGTTTGAGGTTCAAGTTTTAACCTCTTGTGATCAAAAGTGGGGGCGACCCCGTAACTTTCATGTAATTTATTTTCAGCTAAATAGTGGGGCTCGTTTGGAGATTTCTTTAATATTTTACTTTTGATTTTGACTATTATGATTATAAATATTTAATTACTTTCTTAATCGCGTTTAACTACTATATGAGCCTCCACGTCACTAACCCTGGCTTCGTGGCGTGACAGTATCTGAAAGAAATTGCAAGGCATAATGTCTCTGGCTTAAGGAGATACTTGCATTTGATCTAGCCACTTCTAACTCCATAAAGTATTTCAATCTTCCTAAGTCCTTAAACTTGAAGCTGGTGTCAAGGAAAGCCTTGAAATCCTCCACTAGTTTCTCATTTTTAGTGGCAATAACAATATCATCTACATAAACTAACGAGGCAATAAAGAAGACTCCATTCCTCTTAATAAACAAAGAGTTATTCGCAACAGCTTGTTTGAAGCCTTGCTCAAGTAATGCACTTAAGAACTTGGAGAACCATTGGCGAGAAGCTTGTTTAAGCCCATAAAGAGACATATAACCAGAAAACATGATTAGGTGGTAGAGGCTCCCCCTCACGATGATAATCAGGAGGTAAGGACATATAAACTTCCTCTTGGAGATCACCATGAAGGAAGGCATTATTTACATCAAGTTGGGTAAGATGCCAACCATGAATTGCAGCGAGAGCAAGAAGAACATTAACAGACACCATTTTAGCAACATGAGAAAAAGTATCAAGGTAGTCAATAGCCATTTGTTGTGTATATCCTTTGGTGACTAGACGGGCTTTGTAACGCTCTAAAGTTCCATCAGCTCGGTACTTGAGTTTGTACACCCATTTACAGCTAATGGGATGTTTCTCAGGGGGAAGAGTGGTCACGGACCAAGTGTCATTTTGCTCAAGAGCCTCAAGTTCTGCAGTCATTGCCTATCTCCATTCCGGGACAACAACAGCCTGTGAAAAACTAGTTAGTTCGAAGTGTGTGGAGACAGCATGAACAAAGGCTCTATGTTCATGGGATAGCATGTCATAGCTCAAACATGGGAGAGAGGGTGAGCTGTGGATGATGGAGTGTGGGAGACACTAGAACAATGATAGTCTCGAAGGTAGGAAGGTGGTTTGACATGACAAGTTAGACGTGTGAAGGAGGAAGGGATAGAATCAGGTAGATTACCTTATATGGGAACATGGGGCTCAGCATCATAGGTACAAGGCAACACTCGGTCAGAGAAAAAGTCTATGGAAGAATCTAAAATACTTTCTATCTTAAAGGGAAACATTGTTTCATGCAAGATAACATCCCAAGAAATGTAAATTGAGTTAGTGGCAAGATTAAAGAGTTTATATCCTTTATACCCGGGGGGTTAACTAAGGAAAACATACTCTATGGCTTGAGGAGAGAACTTATTACGATGTCTAGGAAGTGTGGAACCATAACATAAACAACCAAAGGCCTTAAGATAGGAATAGGATGGCTTCTTCTTCCAAAGAAGCTCAAAAGGAATTTTATTGGACAAAAGAGGTGATAGAGTTCGATTAATGAGATAAACAACTGTGAGTACACAATCTCTCCAATAATGTAGAGGTATGTGTGATTGGAAGTGAAGAACTCTAGCTACATTTAGGATGTGCTGGTGTTTTCTTTCAACAACAGAATTTTGTTGGGGTGTGTCTATGCAAGAGTGATAAGAGATGATCCCTTTTTCACGAAAAAAAACTCAGGTAATGACAATTCCTTGGCATTATCGGACCTAACCGATTTTATGGTCACATTAAACTGGTTTTGGATTAAGATGAAAAATTTTGGAAAAACAGTTTTGACATCTGATTTGGCACGAATCAAGTATACCCAAATAAAACATGTACAATCATCTACAATGGTTAAGAAATAACGATAACCCCCAGTAGTCATTAGTGTAAAAGGCCCCTATATGTCACAATATATTAATTCAAAAGGCAAAGCAGACAAAGAATTGGAAGAAACAAAAGGTAGACGACGTTGTTTAGTCGAATGACATATTGAACAACGCCAAATTTCATTTGTAACATAAGTAATTTGTAATTCATTCCTCAATGTATGAATATTTACATAAGAAGGATGTCCGAACCTATAATGCCAAATTTCATTTTCTGTTAAAGTAGCATTATTACAATTTGCTGTAGACTTAGAGAAAATTGGTAAACAACTAGAGGAAACAGGAAGTAAGCTTGTAGAGTCCAAGATGTAGAGGTTTCTTTCTCTTTTACCCATCTCAATCATTCAGCCCTGAATATGTTCTTGACACACAAGTTGTAGAGTGGAAATTAACAGACAAGTGGTGATTATGAGTGAGTGAACTGATTAACAAGAGATTAAAATGAAATTGTGGCACGTAGAGAACATTGTGGAGAGTGAGATTATCTGACAAAGGAACATAACCTATGCGAGTGATTTCTACGGTGAGACCAGTGGGTAGTGAAATAGAGGAATTGGTTATAGGCTTAGAGCTGTCAAAACATGATAAGGAACAACAAACATGGTGTGTTGCTCCTGTGTCTAGAACCCAAGAGGTGGAAGGAAAATGAGCAGTGGATAAAACAAAGATAGTAGATAGGGAAAGAATACCACTGAAGCTTGACACTGATGGTTTGGGCTGTTACAGATCCGAAGCAGAGCAGGCATTGGTCTGGAGTTGAGAACTCATGAGGGCAATGTCCTGCTGGCATTGGGAGGCAGTTAAGTCCCTAACTGAGGGCTCTAAGGTGCACTATTCAGGCAACGTTGCTGTAACCTGATTTGCTTGTGGCTTAGGCAGGGCTTGCTTAGGCTTAGGCGGGGCTTCCGCCTGGGCCTCGGGGTGAAGTTGGATGCAGCAACAGTGGGAGCTGCAGGAGGTAAGTCTCCCATGGCTAGAGAGGTGGGAACAGGAGCCCCACTGTTGATTGCCCGCTGACGCTCCTCTTGTACCACAAGCGCAAACACCTTGGTTAAAGGCGGCAAAGGGTCCATCAAGAGGATCCGAGCTCGAGTCTGAGAAAAAGACTCATTTAAACCCATCAAAAACTGCATCACGTACTCTTGCTGTTGATACTCCATCCAGCTCTTCATGCCTCCACAGTGACAAATATGGATTGGTTAGTATAACTTCAGCTCCTCCTAGAGAATCTCCAATCGGGTAAAATAAGTGCTTACATCAAGAGCACCTTGATGCAGAGCCGCGAGGTGAGTTTTCATCTGGAAACTCCGCGTGTCATTACTTTGATGGAAGCGTTTCCGAAGATCTAACTAGATCTCAGCAGCAATATCAATATAAAGGAGATTATCAGCATTCAGGATCCAAGAAATCACCATGTTGTTGCAGCGAATCCACACGCCGGAAAGAAGATCGTCAGCTTCAGGATGAGGTATGCTCTTGTCGATGAAACCGAGCTTGTTCTTGGTGGTCAAAGCCATAATCATGGCACGGCTCCAGGTGTTGTAATTGGATCCAGTGAGGAGATTAGAAACTAAAACATACCTGGATGATCACCATTGTGCAGGAAATAGGGACATGTAGAATCCTCCATGGCCGGTGGAGCTGAGGTTCCAATAACCACACAATTGTCGGAGTTGCCGCCGGCCCTATTCATTGGACGAGTAGAGGAAAACTTCCAGAGATTGGCAGAGGATTATCTCTCTGATACCATATTACAAAAAAAAACAAAAAACAAAAAAAAAGTAGAGAGGAATTTGTGAAATGAAGCATTCTGTATTGCTTTGATTAGAAAACCGAGAGAAGAGTGGTTTATACACAATCTGAGGAAAAGGAAGCAAGGGTTTGTTGTAACAAACCTCTAGGTCAGCAAAGAAAAAGAAAATAAAAAACAGCAACCTACTTAGTCTTATTTTTAAAACAACAACTAATTAACCCTTATTTACAATCTCAACCTTCCAAAACTCTTAATAGTGTTTGTCCTACTCCTACACAAGTTTGCGCCGCCGAGTACATGTTAACAACAACACAACATAGGCATGCGTGACAAGAATGCCCCTTAATCTTGCTCTATCGGTTTTTATGTCGAAAATATCGTTGAAATTCAAGGACTTGTCTTCTTTGTAAATCTTCGATGCAAAATCGACAATGATAAGCACGGTTAAGAGCTCTAGGAGATGGAAAGGGACCAAATAGAGAAAACCAAGTTGGAGCATGTCATAAAAGAACTCTAGGAGATGGATGCGTTAGATTTGCCACTTTTGGTCCCCTGTCGTCTCCTTTGGCGCTATAAACTAATCTGTCCTTGCAAATAAGGCAAATATAATATAAGAGATAAATTAAAGAGGGTTGTTATCTTAATAATTATTGTCAATACTTTTCATGTGCTAATGAGCTAAGTCTACTCTTGGTCACATGGTAACGTCATTTTCTAGTAATGATAATATAATGTTTTGAGAGATCTCTGTGGCTGGCCGATAAGATATGCCGAAGGTTCAGAATCAAGATAGTGTATCTTCTCATAAAGTTTTGTTTTTTTTTTCTTTAAAAAAAATCATGTTTTTTGAAAAATGAGTTTTAAGTGTTGGGTTTCCCGTTTGCAGCATTATCAATTCGCATTCAAAATGTTACAACACTAAAAATATTAGTTGGCATTAAAATGGTACTTAGCATTGTTAGTAAGATCTTCAACTTTTAACTTTATCAAATTACTCCTTTTTTTTTTTTTTTTTGCAGTTTTAGTCCATAACACTTAAATTAACGAAAGATTCTAGAGATTTGATAGAAGTAATATTGCAAGGACTAGTAGTGTCACAACGCTCAGAATCATTCTATTATATATATATATATATATATTTGGTTGCTATCACTTTTTATTCGTTTGGTACGAGAATTTAAATCAGGATTTTAATCATGATTCAGAATCAATGATTTAAATCACCTTAAATCAAGAATTAAATCCATAATTCATGATTTTAGGTTCAAATCATTATTCTGAAACCATGATTCAGAATCTATGATTTAAATCACCTTAAATCAAGAATGAATAGTTTTAGAATTATGATTTGAACTAGTATAAAACATCACATCAGATTCTGACTCATCAAAATAAAACACTAATTTTGAATCATGATTCAAAATCACTATAAATAAATACTGATCCTGAACTAAAATTTAAAATCATAATTTTGAATCTATTTACTAAACACACTTGAGTCTCTAAACCAATAGTAGAAGAATGTTCTACTTTTCAGTTGTCAGTCATTTCAACTACACGTTCTTCAACAAGTTGTTAGTCGTTTAATCTAGAAAACGAACATCCCTTCTAGTACAAGAATGTTATATTTTTTCAGCTTGAAATTAAAAAAAAAAAAAAAAGTATCCTTGGGCCAATGAAAGTGTGTAACGTGTAACGGTGAAACGGATATGTACTTCACCTTTAAAAGTTTGCTATTGCTCGAGGATTTGCTGTCCACCTGTCGTCTACTTTCAGAAAATACAAGTAATTTTTGTTCATAAATTTACTAAATACATGAACAATAATGTGCAAGAAACGACAAGTTATTCTCAACAAAGAACAGACGACAAGTACAAACCGTCCCATATTTGGTCCATCTTAAAATAGACAGAAAAATTAGAATGAATACTAGAAGGGTTATTTAAGGATTTGAGAGCAACCCTTATGTGAATAACTTTATTGGAGGTCCCTAAATCTAAGTCCTCTCTGACCAGCTTAAATTATTTAACTTGGCAAAATACCATGCTTTCTTTGTTTTAAAGCTCAAAAAAAAAAAACACTCCTATTGTGATTTTTACCTTTAACAACACTCTCCCCTGCTTCTTGGGATCACTGATATGTATCAAAAACACTTTTATTTCATTGATAAAACAAGAGTAAATGTGTCTCACTTAGTCACATCTTTTATACAAGAGAAGATATAAATCCTGTATCTCAATTCAGCCCATATATATGCAGACACATTGACAGAGAAGAATTATAAAATGCTCATTATAGTTAATTGTTTTCCATGATCATTTGATCCAACTTCTTCATCTCAGTAGTTTTGCCTCTTAGTCTTAACCTTCTTCCACATCAACTTTCTTCCCAAAAATCCGCTTGATGCAATCGTCAAAATACACCACAAAGGAGACCCATTTAAGCGCATTTCCGAAGCAGAACAAACTAATCTGAGCAACAGTCCAAATCCAGTTTTTATAGCAACCATAAACTAGGCATGGAAACCTCAAACCAACTCCCCAGATAGAAAAAACAAGCATCAAAATCATCCCACTCTGAACACTTCTCAAGCTAAGATAAGCAGATGAACCTAATGCTTTAGCCCCATATGTTCCTTTCAGCACTGAGATCACAAGACCCAAGTTCCATATAGCACTCCAACCCAAGTATATTCCGAGGAGTAACAAAAAATTTGCCCCATATACTAGGTGAAAGAAAACATCAAAATCCAAGGACCTAAACGGCATATAATAGTAGAAAAGGTCAGAATATTCATAGGGAAAGTACCTTATAATATCAGAGTATGTTATGAGTAACGTCAAGAATCCCAGTAGAGTACATGTTGAGAAGAACACAACATAGCCATATGTGACAAGAATGCCCCATAATCTTGTTCCATCGGTTTTTATGTCGAAAATATTATTGAAAGTCAAGGATTTGTCTTCTCTGTAAATCTTCGATGCCAAATCGACAATTACAAGCACGGTTAAGAGCTCTAGGAGATGGAAAGGGACCAGGTAGAGAAAACTCAGTTGGAGGAGCTTGTGAAGAGAATCATTGCTCAATTTTCTGACTATGTCAAGTGGTAGAGACCAACTTTTGCCGTAACTCTCAGGGTAGGAGTAGTAATATTGAACGATAAAGTCAGAGTTCTCATCCACTAATTGATGAAATTCTGGGGTTTCATGATCTTTAGCTTGAAGAAGAATCGAGGAGTTTTGAAGAAGGAATTCTTGAAGGGAAGCCTCAAAGTAAAGAGAGAAGCAGAAGAGAGGAAGGGAGATTAGAGATGTGAAGATTATGAAGTTAGTGTTTTTGGCAAAAATTGTGAAAGCTTCTTTGATGATATCAAAGGCCTTAAGGTTATTTCTTGCCATTTTCTTCTGCTTCAGTTTCCTTCACTCCAAGCTCAAAACCAAACCAAACGAAAAAAGCGCTTTTTTCCGAAAGTCTATGGTGATTTTTCAGGTCGTTGCCGTCTAAATCATCTCAACGCGCTGAAGAGATATTAGCTTGACTACGTTTGTGACACCAAGATGAACTGATAAATGTGTGTTCTCTATTTATTTTTCTTTCGTTTGCTTCTTTTTTTTTTTTTTTTTTTTTTTTTTTTTTTTTTTTTTTGTTAAGTGCTAAGAATAAGAAGTCAAGATTGCTGTCCGTCCACACGGTAGTTGAGTCCAGCTGTCTTGGTCTAACATTCATTTTTAATAATTTAAGAATTTGAGAAATTTATATTCACGTTCATTTTATTGATTTGAGTTTTATTACATTAAAAAATTTTAAAAAATAATCGTATTTAATTTTTTTTTGTAATTTTAAATTTTTATATAAAGTCACATTTTAATTCAAATTAAAAATTATAATCAACAAACTAAACAGATCTTCTTACTGGTATTCCAAAATCCTAAGGTTCAAAATTTAAGATACTCCCGTTTAATTCGCTGATTTGAGTTTTTAATTCGAGTTGAGATGTGATTTTATGTGAGAGCTTTTTACTGTAGCAAAAAAATTAGATGTGATTGTTTGTGAGAGCTTTTTACTGTAGCAAAACTCAAATTTTAAACTCAAATCAACGAAATGAACGGGGCCATACACTTGTCAGTGCTTTCCTCACTCTCTCTTAAGAGTGCCACAAGTCAGTTTTCATATAAAACCGTCGTTTACGAGTGTGTTTACTTCACATGAAAGGGAAAAAGAATCATAAAAATAGTAGTTTTAATCCTGCATTTACTTACAAAATTAGGGATAATAGTGTGGTAGACTCCACACAATATAAGAAATGAAAAAAAGAAAAAAAAAATATCAATCTTTACGCCTCTTGGTATTAATTCCTTATTAAAGTGAATGAATTCAAAATTATTTGTATACCCTTAATAAGTTAAAATGTTATAAATCAACAATTAGTTATTTATGTACATTTTAATAAATTACAAACAATATTAAGTAAACATTAGAAATAAATAACTAATTGTATTAATCTTATGACTTGTATTATTTTAAGCGAAAATAGTAGAAAATAAGCCAATATGAAATGTTTAAAGAAGTATATAGGCCAACTTTTAGTTATAGAAATTAATAGGCTTCATAACCAGATAAGTTATGGACAAACTTGTCAAGTTATGGTTCATAGCCAAACAAGTTATGGACAAAATCCGTGATTTATGGATAATAACTTGTCAAGTTATGGTTCATAACCAGACAAGTTATTGACCAGACAAGTTATTGACGAAAACAGTAATTTGGCTTATTTATTAACTTATGTAAACTATTGGCTTATTAATTTTAATTCATCTCAAGTCTTGATCTATTTCTCTCTTTCTCTCTATTTTAAGCTTGACGTGATCGCCAAGGTCATTAAGAAATTAAATTTGACTGACTTCGGCCCCGTTCATTTCGCCGATTCGAGTTTAGAATTCGAGTTTTGTTACAGTAAAAATCTCTCAGTCACATCTAACTTTTTTACTACAATAAAAAGTTCTCACACAAAATCACATCTCAACTCGAATTACAAACTCGAATCAGCGAAGTGAACGGCCCCTTCTTAATCCTTGAGATTTTCATTAAGAAAATACATCGTTGAATTTGACAGAACCCCAAGACTAGAAGTAGTAGGATTTATTCTCATAAAAAAATATGTTAGAAAATTTTTGTAAAAAATTATTAAAATAAAAAATAAATGTAAGATAGCAAAATAAGTTAAAGTTGATCGGTTAGTTCAATTAAGAAATAGGCGTTAGCACTCAATTTCGTTGTTAACAAACATCCAACTAAATTCAATTATTTACTTATTTAATTTCAATGAGTGAATTTTTAAGTTCAACCAAAACTCATTAAACCCCATTTTTAAAATAAAGCATCAAGTGGATGAATAAAAATCATGCTACACGAGTAGAACAAAGAACTGAAAAAGTCAACTAAAACTATCCATCATGATGAATTTCCCATGGCATACTAGGCAGAAACGAAAAAAATAAATAAATAAATACATAAAAACAAACAAACAAAACAATTAAAATCCTTGAACGTTTAGAACAGACAATATAAGCATGAACGCAAAGGAAAGGTTAGTTCGTTAGTACAAGAAAAGATATACTTTCTAAACAACAATTGTTTTTGGGATCCGCAGTTAAGAATATTATGGCCCTATTTACTTCGCTGATTCGAGTTTAGAATTCGAGTTGAGATGTGACTTTATGTGAGAGCTTTTTACTGTAGCAAAAAAGTTAGATGTGATTGTTTGTGAGAGCTTTTTACTGTAAAAAAACTCGAATTCTAAACTCGAATCAGCGAAGTGAACAGGCCCATAGCCTTTTATGCCTCCCAAGAGACGCAAAAGATGAAAAAGAAAAAAAATTCGTTTAATTTGTTAATTTAAATTTTTAATTTAAATTAAAATGTAAATTTATATGAGAATTTTTAACTGTAATAAAAAAATTAAATGTAACTGTTTTTAAAAATTTTTTACTGTAACAAAATTTAAATTTTAAACTCAAATCGACAAAATAAACGAATCCTTACCTTTTACTCTTTTAAACACATTATCCGATCTCGTACTGGTTAATTTATTCACATAGATTTATGTATGTAATCGTCTTTACAAGAGTGATAACGACATAAATTGTTAAATTACAAATGCTTTTCTACGCCAATATTTCTTTTTCAAACGTAACTGTGACTCGAGGAGAAAACAAGATACAACGAGAAGAACCGCCCAACAAGAAATACTCTTCCAATTTGAATTCATAGACCAGAAGTAATAACAAATATTTAAGCCCCGTTCACTTTGCTAATTTGAGTTTTACTACAGTAAAAAGCTCTCATAAAATCACATCTAACTTTTTTACTACAGTAAAAAACTCACATAAAATCACATCTCAACTCGAATTAAAAATTTAAATCAGCAAACTAAACGGACCCTTAGACCCTAATTTCGACAAACCAAAAAAAATCAGCAAACTAAACGGACCCTTAGACCCTAATTTCGACAAACCAAAAAAGAACAAATGAGAGAAAATAAACCATCATGTAGTCTTAGTCTAACAGAAAAAGAAAAGAATCGGTCGTCTTTGTCTCTTTTTCCAAGACAAGAAATTCAACCTCATCAGAAAGGGGAATCGAAACAAAACGTAAAAATGATTTTTGAGAACAATTGTTAACAAATGCATGCTCAACCGAATTTACAAAGTTGTCACCAACCTGAACGTTAAAATTACAACATATACTGTAAGTATCGAGGGTTCGTGCATCTCCTTTTTTTTTTTTTTTTTGACATAAAGGTCATGGTATCTAAATCAAAGAGATAACAACAATGACAAAAAGGAAACAGCAACCAACTGGCGAAATCCCAAATGCAAGATAATCTACACGAGCTTAGAATAAAACAACTTGGTTGACGGGTACAACCAACCACTGCAATCACGCAACTCCATTTTGGGTGCAAAAGCTCAACACCAAATCACAAGACTGCAGTGATTAAAGCGGGAGACATGTCATGGCCCGACAAGGTAATGAACACAATAAAAGGAGAGAGGAAGTTTGGTGGTCACTATTTCCTAAGATTACTACCATGGAAGCTGAGTACCAACCAGTCGAAAACCAAACTTGGACGCATATAACCAATGGTCCAACAAACACCTTCACCTTCTTCAACCAGCTAATTGAGAAGTGGGAGTCTATGATGGGAGCTTTACGACGACAGGGGCGTTCATAAATGGTTGACAGGTTGAGTGCAGCCGAGTTACTAAGGATATTTCAACATGCAAAGTAAGCGAACTAAAATGCAGAGAAAGCAACGAGAAGATCATGTGCAGAGACGCAGAGGAAGCGAGTGCAGTAAACAGCTTCAGTGTCTTTAAGGTTGAGTCAGCTAAAAAAAGAAGATAGACCAGAAGCTTTGTTGCAGAAGAACGCAACAAAAGAGTGCCACACAAGTACACAACCACACTTCCTGTATATTCCAGTTTTACTCACTAGTGTAGACGAGCAACAAGAAGTAGAAGATAGTGGTGCAGAAGCAGAGATGAGAACCATGTGCATTAAAGATGCAGTAAGCGGCCAACGATGCCATTATAGCCAAAAACCGACCTCAAATCAAAACAACCAAGATTTAGAAACTGTTTGCATACCACAATCAATAAGTTAATATTAGAACATATAAGTATAATATGTCAACTAAAAAGTAGGAAAGAGACCTCCAAAATTAAGCTGAAGCAAGAAAGCCAGCGCAAAACGGTGTCCAAAGCACCCCATTTGGCAGCCAACACGCTTTGTAGAAGCCATCCAATACCATGTTTCTAATAAAACCCACTGTCATAATATCAACATAACTAATATGATCCTCGTCCATTCAACCAAATCCTACTAGAACTAAAAGTATAGTGGTGCGTCATCCTGTGAGGTCATCTAGCATTTGCTCCACTTCAGGTTCCAGCTTCAGTCCCTGCAACAAGAGCAAATCATGAAGATTCACTATAAAAAAAAAAAGGTAAAAGAAAATCAGAAATGCTTTGGACAAGTGCCATCATTCAAATTAATATTCAGGAATACTTCCTAAATATCAAAAGTTTAAAGAACCTCAGTAACTAGCTATCACAACATACACACGATATAACATACCCATTGGCATAAGGAGACCCACGACGAGCATGGCGATATGGAGGAGACTTGCTGTAGCTTCGACCTCCTCGAACTGGTGGTGACATGCTACGGCGTTTGGGAGACCTCCTACGCGGACTATAACTCCTGTCACGAGAAGAATAATATAAAAGGAAAAGTTAGACGTAAGACTAGATATCAAGTATTAATTGCATCATACAACTGTTAGGATCCTGATTGAGTCCCATATTGCTAAAGTATGGGCTTAGCGTGTGGGTTTATAACCACTTGGGCACCCTCTCCCTACAAGCTAGCTTTTGGGAATGAGTTCTACCCAAGGGTTTTAACAATTAGTATCAGAACATGCTCCTCCTTAGGCCCACGTTGCGGAAGGGGCGACCTGGGGAGGGGCGACCTAGAAAGGCCAGAGTGGGCCATCCAAAGTGGGCCGCCGCGGACGTCGGTATCGGAAGCGTGGTGGTATGTTAGGATCCTAGTTGAGTCCCACATTGCTAAAGTATGGACTTAGCATGTGGGTTTATAACCACTTGGGCACCCTCTCCCTACAAGCTAGCTTTTGATGATGAGTTCTACCCAAGGGTTATAACAACGACATGTCCCAATTTTTATATATCATTGATTGTTATGGATCATCTTTTAGAACCAATAGTCAGGAATTGAGTATGAGCTCCTTTCCCCTCACGCTTTTATACAACTTATTCTCTTGTACATAGAAATATGGTTTTGCAATCACAAATATAAACGTACATTTGAATTGTTTCTTTCCCGTAAAAATTAAGAGAGAGAGAGCGTGACAAGTTAGTAAGAAGCATGCATGAATATGTGGACAAAACTGAATAAGAGCGAACTGAACAGCAAACCTTCGCCCATATCTATCATAACTTGGGCTTCTGCGGCGTCGAGGAGAAGGGCTTCGACGCCTTCCACCACCCAAACTTCGTGAACCAACACGCAGACGGCATTCTCTAGCAAAATGTCCAGGCTCACCACACTCATAACACTTCAAGTCATCACCTCCACCGCGGCCACGTCCACCCCCACCACGACCTCCACCACCCTTAGAATTATGAGAAAGCTCCACACGCCAACCATTTTTTCCTGTGGAACGAGGATGTGACACTTTAAATTAAAGGAATGAATTTCTAAAAGAATCTAAAATCCATGAAAGAACATCAACTATGCCAAGGTTAAAAGACGAGTATCTCCAAAGCTGCAGCCATCTTTAAGGCCCATAAAAATCAGCACCAAATAAAAGCTACACAAAAATTTACAGACCATCCAAGGCTTGAATTGCATCTAGAGCATCCCTGCGATCATCAAATTCAAGGAATGCGTATCCCGGTGGTCTTCTAGCAACCCAGACGCTGCATCAATTCCATTAACATATCAAAACCCAGCAACAAAAACAACAACAACAACAACAAAAACTTTGCTTTCTTAGTTTAATAACAAGGAAAAATATACTGAAAAATAACTACAAACGTTTTAGCACGTGTTTGCTCTCCTAGAAGACATAATTCAATATAGACTAACATTAACAATGCGATATACTCGGCCAAAACCACAAAATATATATTCGTTTTAAGAGTATGATATACAAAAATGTTTTAACAGAGAAAGATTCAGTAAAGATCACCTCCGAAGAACGCCGTACATCCGGAATTCATCTTCCAGATCTCTTTCAGTCACTCGAGGATCCAAATTCCCAACGTAAACGCGAGACATCGTCACAATTCACAAACCAGTCCCAAATCTTCAAAAGAGAGAAATTAAATTCACAAAAATCGTCGGGATTTGCTTCTTCCCATAAAAGATAATAATCCAAAAGAAATTTCCTCAAAACATCGCATTACAATTTACACCCCCTATATCAAAGAAAATGCAAAAAAAGATACAAATTTTACGAAAAGTCGTTTCCTATTTCCTTCGCGAACTATTTTCCGCCAAACCAAACAGAAAAATCGGATCAGTCGGTGATTTACCGTCGGTGCAAAAAGAACAACTACAGATACCGGTCTTATAATTCAACCCATGGGAAGAAAAATCGAAGCTGAGAAAGAAAGCTTACATGGAAGAAGATTTCTAGAGAAGATTTTCCACCGATCGAGGAAGAAAGCGAATTGACTCCAACAAAAAATCTCAAAAACCCTAGAAACAAGAAAACGCTCTACTTCCCTGGAGCTTTTGAGTTTTAAGTGAACTCTGTGGTACACATTCACGTGTTAGACGTGTCTGTTTTGGGCTTTACTTGGGTAGGCCATTTGTCGGCCCAATATTGCTCCGGAATGGCCCAACCCAATTCACTCTTCCCATCATTTTTTCCTTCTTTTTTTAATTTTGCTTGGAAAATGGAAACAGTTCCATAAATTCATCTCCAAGTTAATCGCTGTACCTACTATTGTCAGTGGTCCCATTACTGTCTCCTCTCTTATTCTTGAAATTTTGTCCTTTTATTTCTTTCTTATTTTTTTTCCTGACTCAATTTATTGTCTTTTATTATTAGATATAGTTTTCAAGAGATAAGTATATATTTTGTTATAATTTTGTGTAGATTTATTATTTATGTCATTTTAAATAATAAATATTATCATATTTTTTATTTTATTTTTATTAATTAAGTAATAATGTTTATTTTTAATAAAGTGGTTTAATATTGTTTACCATCTGAAGTGGTAATTTGATGTTCTCCATATATTTCAAAGAGAAACTGCCTCATTATTCGAACCCATTTGCATTTTCTAAAAAGAAAAAAAAACAATTTTAATGCATTTACCAAACTATAGAAAAATATAATGAGTAAAGTAACGAGATTGTAAAGGAAACTAAAAAAAATAAAAATAAGGATTATTGATTATTATTAAAGTATTTATTTTACTGTTATATTGTGTAATAAGAAAGAATCTCATTTTTTCAATGTTTACTAAAATTAAAAATAACTATATCATCAATATAATTATTAAAATAACTTTTTAAATAATTAAATAATTATTGATTATGTAGTAATTCATAAAAGATAAATAAGTAAATTTAATATTTATTTTCAGTTATCAATATTGTGTTACTGATTTTATAAACACATTAAAAAATAAATCATTCTTTACTTTTCGTTTTCCTCTTATGCGAAGTAAAGACGCATTTATTCTGATCAAAGTTTATTTTATAAAAAATAATAATTCAAATTTTTTTATGAGATAAGTAAAAAATTTTTCTCTTTTTCATTGTAGAGTCTTTACAATTGAGCATGTTTTTTATTCTGTTAGTAAGAACTATGTTTTTACTGTTAAATTAATTTTTTAACTGATAAATTTACAGTGTAAATAATTTTATGTGTCGCATTATTAATATATATTTGTACATATCTTACTATTAAAAACTAATTCAACCTTCACGCCGTAGAATTTTTTTTTACCTAATAAAATATTAAGATAACGTTTATTTTAAAAATTATGTATAATTTAAGATCATAATTTTTAATTTTATTAAAATATTTTTCTCTTATAAAAAATTTAAATTTTAAAAATCAAACTTATAAATCATTATTTTAAAATCATAAATCAAACATCACCTCAACATTCCTCCGAATGTACTGACAAATTATTACGAAAAAGATAATAAAAGCTGACATCCAATCACTCTCTTTGACTAAACAGTAGTGACTGGTAATCAAGAACGTTACGTTATCTTAATATCTTTTTTTTTTTTAATTTAATTTTTGGGCTTATTTTATTTGGTTGGTGGATTCGTGCGTTTGGTAATATTGCCATTGCCCCATAACTATGTTCATTGTCCTTTCGGTTCTCAAATCATCAAGGCTGTCTTTATCTCAGAAGAGCCACAACAATCAGACACGAGTCACGTGATTCGCTGAGCTGAGAAAGCAGAGATTTTGATCACCAATAATAGCTCAAAAACTATACAAGAAAAGGGGAGGAAAAAAAAAAAAAGCTCAAACTTTTGAAGAAATGATGGAAAGTCAAGATTTTTAAGGCCAAGTGGGAGGTTTTGGGAAGTGGGCTTTTGTTATTTTGGTCAAAGAAAAAAAAATGGAAGGAGGAGATAGGATTGAAGAGAGTAGTAGTGTGAGATTGTTGGGGGGAAGTTGGAGTGGGAGTGAGTCAAGGTGGGTTGATGGGAGCGAGGTGGACTCGGAATCACCACCATGGTCTCAGTTTGATGATGAGAAGGAAGAAGGTAAAGAAGGGTTCGGATCTCTCAGAAGGAGGCTTGTCAAGAAGCCCAAGCGTGTTGATTCTTTTGATGTTGAGGCTTTGGAGATTTCTGGTGCTCGTGGTCATGATTCCAAGGTAACAATAATACAATACAATCACTGTTTCTTGGACTGTGATTTTCCCAATTTGCTGTTTCTTTCTGTCTTTGAGTGATATTGGATAAATCTGTTATTTTCATCTGGGGAAGTTATAATATAATCTTGAGAGATTAATATTGGAGTTGGTGTATTTGAGTAATTATTAACTTTTTCTTTATTGGACTTGATTGGAAAATGAAGATGGGGTATTTCTGACGGAGCCAGAAATTTTTGTCAGTGCGGCTAATAAATCAAAAATTTATTAGGCTTTTAGTTTGAAAATAGGGTTATAACATTAATTTTAGTGGAGGCTAATTAGTACCACTATAATATAATACCTAATTATATATATGATTTAAAAGGAAAAAAAAAAATTTTGAGTTAAGCCCCCGCTGGACTAGCTTTGGCTCCGTTTCGTGATCATCACCATACATTTTGCATCCAATTAGGACCAGCAGTTCATTCTTAACGGGACTCACGCAATTGTATATATCAATCTGTAACCAGCTAAAAAAAACCAGTAGTGATGATCACAGCCATTGATTGTTAGCAATTTTTTTCGTGATAGAGAGTTCGGCTTTACCATGTCTAGCCAAGAGCAGTTGATTAAACGTTTCAATAAGAATAAGAAAAATACTAGCGTCAATCTTTCTGTTACTCTCTTTGTCACTTTATGCATTCACTGTTTTGACACATGGACTCTACTAATGTTAGCATTTCTCATAAGAATACAATCACTTCAAGATTTGCAAGCAAGAAAAGTTGCAGTGTTTGATCTATAATCGAACAATTACATCCACATTGGAAGTACAATATATGAAATTCTTTTCCCAACGGGAAAAAGGAAGGAAACTCTCCATCCACTATTCTCTTACAAAATTTTATTACTTAAATAAATCAGGACCTTTCCACATGGAGCACTGTTGCTCTAGCATTTCAAACACTTGGAGTTGTGTACGGTGACATGGGTACAAGCCCTTTATATGTCTTCACTGATGTCTTCAGCAAAGTGCGAATCGAGTCAGAGGTTGACGTCTTGGGGGCTTTATCACTTGTGATGTACACGATTGCTCTTATACCATTAGCCAAATACGTTTTTGTAGTTCTCAAAGCCAATGATAATGGCGAAGGTAGGCATTCTTTTGTTAACGTATTGCCTACTTGCTTCAGTTAGATTCTATCTGGCTCAGCACATGTGCATACTGACGCCTTTATGCTTTCGAATAATAGGAGGAACGTTTGCACTGTATTCACTGATATGCAGGTATGCAAAGGTGCATATGCTTCCTAATCGTCAGCCAGCCGATGAACATATCTCTAGTTTTAAGCTGAAACTGCCCACTCCAGAGTTGGAAAGGGCTTTGCGTATAAAAGAGGCTTTGGAAACGATAGCACCTTTGAAAACCCTTCTCTTGTTTCTGGTCCTAACGGGGACTTCCATGATTATAGGAGATGGTATACTAACCCCAGCGATGTCAGGTGCGTTGCTGCCTGGTGGGACGTTGTTCTTGCAACTAGAAAATTTAGGGAAATAAATGTTAGTTCCTCTTGTAAGTAGTATCCCAAACTTCAAATGTAACTTACATGTGAGTTTGTCATGTTCGATTGTTGCTGATAGCAATGAAGGTTGCTAATAAACTGTTTGAACTTTAAACTAGCAAGTAATGCGATTTTTTGATGATTCAGATAAGGAACTAACTTCATCAGCATGCTTTGTTCAATCTTCCCCACCTCTGTCCCTTCAATGCATGATTAAGTTTTCTTGTTCAGAAATGAAGTGATGCCAATCTTAACATCCTGTAATTATTTAATGTTAGGCTGCTTTTTTTATTGATTTATGTCAGTGTTGTCTGCTGTGAGTGGTCTGAAGGGTGCGGTAAAAGGCATTGATACAGGTCGGTATCTTACTTATCTTTTCAGTACCATTTGATTGCTACGAAGAGCAACCAATAATTACACGTGTAACACAGTACAAAATCTTCGGATTTTTCTTGCAGGTGCTGTGGTTATTGTTTCAATTTTGATTCTAGCTGCGTTATTCAGCATACAGTGCTTTGGGACGAACAAAGTGGGTTTCATGTTTGCTCCAATACTCGCTATGTGGTTCTTCAGTCTGGGATCTATCGGAATTTACAATCTTGCGATGCATGGTTTTACAGTCTTGAAAGCTTTTAATCCGGCTTATATATATTTCTTCTTCAAAAAGAACGGCATCGGAGCCTGGACTGCTCTTGGTGGTTGTGTTCTGTGTATTACAGGTACATCTCACTATAAAGCTTAATTTTATTGTACATCTCTCCTTTTTACTTTGTCTTCCCTGTATTAGTCTAAGTTTTGAAAAAGCTGAAATCTGAAAAGTATAGAGTATATGTACTTAGCTTATGCCTTTTATAGTCCATTTCTTAACATCTCAAGTTCCTAAACTTCAGTTTCTTAACGTGAGATATAACACCACTGTTTATAGCTTATGCCTTTTATGGTGTTTGCGGTCTTGTGTTTGTGTATCTTACGTTAAAATGTCACCACAGGAGCTGAAGCAATGTTTGCTGACTTGGGCCATTTTTCTGTACGAGCCATACAGGTTTGGTTCGGTTTTTCTGATATCATGTCACTTATATCTCTTTTTTTTTCTTTTTAAGTAAAAGTCTTGTATGGCAAATCTGTTCTGCTCGTGCAGATTGCCTTCAGTTTCGTCGTTTTCCCCTGTCTTCTCTTGGCTTACATGGGCCAAGCTGCGTATCTGCTGAAATACCCTGCTTCTGCAGAAAGAATATTTTATGATTGCGTGCCAGGTTATGCTTAATAACATACAAGCACTCCATTTTTTGTATCTTTTCTCATTGTAGCTTCTATGTTGTAAGTTTATATGGTAGCTTATTTAGACTTCTAGTTTTTTAATGTTGGGAACAAACAGATCATCTTTTCTGGCCTGTCCTTGTGATAGCCACTCTTGCTGCAATGATTGCCAGCCAAGCGATGATTTCCGCAACATTTTCGTGTGTCAAACAAGCCATGGCTCTTGGATGCTTTCCTAGGTTGAAGATAATTCACACCTCGAGGAGACTAATGGGTCAAATCTACATCCCTGTCATCAATTGGTTTTTAATGGTCATGTGCATAGTTGTAGTTTCCATCTTTAGGAGCACCACAGATATTGCCAACGCATACGGTTAAGTATCTCCATTCCCTCGTCTTGCTGGAATTGCCCCTCTTTAAGTTGCAATTGGGAATTATTCGACAGATTTTTTAAAAGTCATGTGATATTTCGCATACATATTTTGACTGTTATTTCATAGTTCAGTACATTGTCAATGTCACCGACGAGAATAGTAGATATGAAGTTCTTGAGATGTTAATGGTACCATAACTTTCACTTGCGGTTTCCTCGTCACGTCATACTTCCTTTTTTTTTTTTTTTTTGCTTAATTTATTTTTATGTTCTTATTTCTTGAATGAACAAATCTTGAAACCTTTGTGCTAATAGGTAGTTCTTTGTCAAAGTTGTTTACATTCCAAGGCTCAGCCAATGACATGAATGTCCTCAATATGATTCATAAAGATCTTAAACTTAGTGGTACACATACTAATGCAAGTCATGTTGTTCTTGCAGGCATAGCCGAAGTTGGTGTCATGCTTGTGAGTACAACCTTGGTGACGCTTGTAATGCTCCTCATTTGGCAGACCAACTTGTTCCTGGCCTTGTGTTTCCCTGTCGTTTTCGGGTCAATAGAGCTCATCTACTTGTCTGCAGTTCTATCAAAAGTCTTGGAGGGTGGTTGGCTGCCACTTGTTTTTTCCACTTTCTTTCTCTGTGTAATGTACACTTGGAATTATGGGAGTGTTTTGAAGTACCAGAGTGAGGTTAGAGAGAAGATATCCATGGACTTCATGCTTGAGCTTGGCTCCACACTTGGGACTGTTCGAACCCCAGGAATAGGATTGTTGTACAATGAGCTTGTCCAGGGCATTCCTTCCATTTTTGGTCAGTTTCTTCTTAGCCTTCCAGCTATCCACTCCACCATAGTCTTTGTTTGCATCAAGTATGTCCCCGTCCCAGTTGTTCCTCAAGAGGAAAGATTTCTGTTTCGAAGAGTTTGCCAAAAGGATTACCATATGTTCCGCTGCATTGCCCGGTATGGTTATAAAGATGTCCGAAAGGAGGATCACCACGCATTTGAGCAACTTTTGGTTGAAAGCCTCAAGAATTTTTTAAGGAGGGAGGCTCAAGATCTTGCCTTGGAGAGCAATTTAACCGAAATAGAGTACGATAGCATCTCAATGACGTCAAGGGATTCAAGAGTCCCAACCGGTGATGGGAATGAGGAGCTAAGGATTCCATTGATGCAGGAAGGAAGATTTGATGAGACAGGAACTTCCTCAGCAGAAACTGCTATGGCGTTGCCATCTAGTGTGATGTCATCTGATGAAGACCCGAGTTTGGAGTATGAGCTCTCAGCTCTCCGCGAAGCAATAGATTCGGGATTCACTTACTTGCTTGCACATGGCGATGTGAGGGCAAAGAAAAACTCATTTTTCCTCAAGAAGCTGATTATAAACTATTTCTATGCATTCTTGAGGAGGAACTGTAGAGTCGGTGCCGCAAATATGAGTGTACCCCACATGAACATCCTTCAGGTTGGGATGACATATATGGTCTGATTCTGTTTATTTATTTGGAATTAGCCCATTTTCATTCATTAGTTGTGTATTGCAAGTTGCAATATCTATGTCAAAATCTCAAATGTACTTTGCTTATTTATAAGTAATAATAATAAACAATAAACAGTCTTCGCTTGATATTACTTTTAAACTGCTCACTTTTATTTGTGTTGTGCTCTTGTCAATTTTAGCTTTGACGAATGTTCTCCTTTGTCTCTCCCTTGTTTTCCGGATTTGACTTTTTTACTTGAAAGAATGTAATCTTTTTACTGTTTTAAAAGGCACCCCCCATATCAGATCCTCTTTCAGTGCTTTCCTTGCTTGCAAAAAGATAAATAAATTAAATTTTCACTTTCCACTTTGTCCATGCATTTGCTTTTAATTTTCTTGTTTTGCGACAAAGAATGTTTGTTTCCAAACAGGTTAGAGATTGACATCTAAGATAGTATAGGATTCTGCCCCATAAGCTGTAGGTTTCAAAGTTGACATCTGAATTTGTGATCGATTAAAAATGCATGATGAGAATCAGTCGTAGTGATATATATCATTGCCGTTTTTTAGCCGTTAATTAGAGTTGGTAGGACTGTTTGAGAAAGTAACCATTTGAATCGCTTGGGTTTCATCTTTTTTGCATGCGTCTCCAACTAAATATGGAAGGCGGAACAAGTATTCTCTTCGTGCACAGATCACCTCAAGTGTTAATTCCCTTTTGTATCACTGAGAATTATCTTGTACAAAGTTGTCTTAAATAACCTGTTTGTTGGTTCAACTTTTCTTGTCTTGTTTTCAGGCAAACAAAAAAAAAAAAACCTACCATTAAACACAAAACTTTTGAATTGCTTATCCCTCAAGCACTGATTTCTTTCCAATTTATCAGCTCCCAAACAAAAGTGGAAAAGATACAATTCCTTCACTGACACTAAGCGGCTGGGAAGGTATTTTGTTTCCTACTACAATAGACATTATCAAACTTTTGAGAGTAGGTTTGATATGTTGCCATTTTCAAACCAATTGAAACTACCCGTTGAAGCAACAAATGTGACTTTTTTCCCAAGGTACCTATTTATTCCCACCAATTACAGTGTCACTTGTCAATTCAATATAAGGTCTTTTATTTTTTTGGTTATAGTTGCCGGCATATAAGACTTTTCCATACCAAACTAAGCTATATTTTGGCATTTTGTAAGGAATTAAAACTTGGGAAGATTATAGTTTGGTTAATGAAAGAAAACTTGATTGGAGAAGAAATTGTTTCTTCATTATGTCTGTGTAATTGATCGATCCGAGTCATTATCAAACATTTCGGTTTAGGTTAGTCTTCTCTCAATTTGTCTTGCCAACAGAAATAAAAATAAAATAAAATAATAAAAAGAGCTTCCAACTAGGTGCACAATTAGTGTGCTTGATATATATTGGTGTCAAATCCTATAAACAAGCATTGTCTTCTGACCTTTTTTGTTTTAATGATGTTCTCTAAGCAGATTTTAAATTTACTGAAGTGAGAAAACGGATAAAAAAAAAAAAAACTATAAAACTGAGAGTAACATGTTGGTTTCTGAGTAAAAACCAAGAGCTTTTTTAGTGTTATCATCGTGCTCATTATCATTACTTTATTACACGTTACATCGGAGTGTAAATTTAAATCGGAGTAAGAGCAATATTTATCAGAATAGGAGGTTGTGCTTATGCTTATGCAAAGCTTTCGAGTCTTTTTTTATTTATTTTTAAAATATGTTTATTTGTATAAAAAGATAAGGAAAGACAAGAAATAACTGATTTCCTTTTTTTTATTTAATTATGTGTTTACTTAAAATGAATAATGAAAGTTTAGTGGACTCACATAATATATAAACCTCGTTCATTTCACCGATTCGAGTTTTCAGTTTTAGGTTTCTACAGTAAAAAGCTCTCAGAAAATGTCACATCTAACTTTTTCTGCTACAGTGAAAAGCTCTCAGAAAATGTCACGTCTCAGCTCGAATTGAATACTCGAATCCGCAAAGTAAACGAGGATGACCATCTTTGTACCTATTAGTATTAAATTTCCCAGTTAAAATAAATGAATGTCACATTTACTTATAAGCTTTTAATAAATAACTTCACATGTTAAAAATCAATTGTTGTTGAATTACATAACATGGTATTTTAGTAATTATATTCATAAGGTTTCTATTATAAAGTTTAATAAATACTAGGGAGGAATTAGATTATTTTTCATGACACCGTATAATAAATAAGTAAATTATTAAAAACAGCGAACACTAAAAAGAATGAATTGGAATAATTTAGCAGCGGATCACGAAATCTTGGTGATCTTCTCTAACTAATGAATGAGAAATCTGCTTTAAACTCGTTCACTTTGCACTCTCTCTCCGAGCGCATGCTTTAATCTGAATCATATATAGTGGTGGATTGATAGAACAAAAACCTCTCATAAAATACTTTTTTTTTTCAATTATACCTTCCCTATTATATAGTTTTGTGGTTTGATGAATGCACCTTACAAATTAAAACAAGAAACAAAGAATATTTATGTGATTTTTTTTTTTTGAAGGTGTGGTATGAATATTCGTATCATTAAGTTCTTAATGTGGCGGAATATTCGCTATAGCCAAAATCCCCTACATCAGTTCTCTTTTGTCATTTGACATTAGCGTGTGATTAAAAAGAATGGCGGACTGCCTTTAACGACTAAAATGCAGATAACAAAAAGGACATATGATCAAAAGCTCAACTGGGTTTGTCTAGTTTCCACCATTAAAAATTTAAAAGGGAATAAATGAGTCCCGTTCATTTCACCGATTTGAGTTTAGAATTCGAGTTTTATTCAGTAAAAAACTCTCAAAAACAATCATATCTAATTTTTTTATTACAGTAAAAAATTCTCACATAAAATCACATCTCAATTCAAATTAAAAACTCAAATCAACGAACTAAACGGATGGTCCGAATAATTTTTTTTTTCCAAGCCAAAAAAGGAAAAAGGTCACACGAATATATTTTGCCACGTGTCATGGATGGTAGTGACAATACTGTGAAGTATTGCCCACCCAATTGGAGCCAATTTCATGTCATCAGACAATGACTCAGACAATTTTAGGTAACAGACGAGGACACATAAGAATTATCCATAACCCGAAAAGACAATATATGCTTATAAAGAGAATAATCGCATAAAGCCATATTTGCTTCACTGTATTTCAGTCTTTAACAGTGAAACTTGCATTTGTGCCCCATCCAATATGTTGGGTGGTCCTTCAATAAGACTTGATTAATTAGCAACGTGTAAACATCAGAGGTTACTGAATAGTTATGATTATTTGATAATTAGGTTCGAAACGATTTAGAAAAAAAAAAAAAAAAGATTCGAAATGTTAAATAAAAACTTTCAATTTTCGGTTTAGAACATTGAAAAAAAAGATTATAAATTCAGAATCGTTATTTGTTTTGAAATATCAAGATACTAATCTAAACCAAACCTCAAAAATATTTACCAAGCACTGATTCAAATGAATTTGTTGGTTCAAATGACTTGGACCTATTTACAAAAGACTTGTGAGTAATGCTGGTGTGGTGACGCAACCAAGCCAGCCATATAATCAACACTTTTTTTTCTTCACTCTATCAGACTATATAAATCATTTTCCTATATCTATAGTCTCAGGAATTTGAATGCTTGGTGCTATTCAACCATTATTTAAAATGTTTGTTGAATCACTTTAAGATGCCTATTAATGATATACATAGCTTTTCTTGTTGGAGTAATTTTTTGAAAATGAAGGATAAATGACATATTGTGTTTGACCATAGCTATTGATCTATATATGAAATCCTTTCGCGGATTCGAGTTTTCAATTCGAGTTGAGATGTTACATTTTTTGAGAGCTTTTCACTGTAGCAGAAAAAATTAGATGTGATATTTTCTAAAAACTTTTTACTGTAAAAATCTAAAACTGAAAACTCGAATCGGTGAAATGAACGAGGCCTAAACAAGAGGAATTCTATTTCCATACATATTTATCAATTAAGGTGACCAAGTCATATATATAGTCTGATATTTTTAATAAAAAAAAAAACCTTTATAGGACATAATCTTCTAGCATATTTTTTCAATAACCTAGAGCAAAAGATTCCACATATAATTAATTATCAGTCATCACCTGCAAAAGGTGTAACATATATAACGTGTTTCCTTGCACAAAAAATTATGGCCTTTTCTTTTTCTTCTTCTTATTTTATTGGAAGTTTCCTGGAAAAAGGGTCTTTAAATATTGTTCAAACTGGATCCTAAGAAAAAGGAGATTCATGAATCGTATTTTGAATAAATATTATTGTTAAAGAAAACACTTTTGGCTGATAGTACAAGGAACAGAAAAACTTAAGTTACTATTTACTGTCCACAATTAGAGGATGTTTGGTACTTAAATTCGTTCTCTGATTCGAATAATGATTCGTGATTTGTTATAGTATTTTTTTTTACAAAAAATACACGTAAATTAAAAATAATTATAATCATATAGTTCTAATTCATAAATCAAACGTCACCTTATAAATTAATGGCTAAAAATTGTAATCATTAAATGGTCATGTTTTGGTCCTTGACCTAACATTTTGCTCTGACTTGCCTAATATATGGATAATGCTAAACTTTATATTATGATATTGAGTATGATTAACCTACTTTTGTCCCCCACGTCCAATAATATTAATATTGTTGTTTTATTCATTGAGTGTAATTAATTAGGCAGGGATGACCTTGTTAGTACTAATTTAATTATTACTCCTCTAAAATGCCCCCCTAGCTTTCTGTCCCTATCTTACTCACGTATTTCAATGCACAGACAGACTAATTAATTATTTAAAAATCCTTCTTACTTATCATGTGCCTCCCTCATTACTTCCTTCCTAATTCAAGTCATTTACTACTACAATTTATTATGGATCACACATACAGCTTTACTATCTTTTTTGGGCTCTATTCTTTTCATAAAACGTGTCTTCTTTAATCAATATTTTATAAGTTAGGACTTAAACAAAGGAAAAAAAAAAGCCATGATACAAAATTAATTAATTGAGCTTTTAATTCGGCTATATATATGTGTCATATTTTTCCAATTTTTGAAATTTTG